TGGAGATGTGGTGTGAGGGACACGGGGCAGTGGGGACCTGGCAGTGCTGGGGGAAGGGTTGGGCTTGATCTTCAAGGTCTTTTCCAACCCAAACAATCCTGTGATCCCATGGTTCTGCCTCTGGGACTGCTGAATGCTGTGGGACTTGGGGAATGTGTTTCCTGGAGGAAGTTTTCCTAGGGGTAGACTGACATTTTGTAGAGTGGGACACTCAGATCCTTGTCCAAATGTCACTCCAGCTGCTGGCCAGATGTTGGAGAGTTGCCATGAGGACACAACAGAGTAGCTGCAATGGCTTACAACTCTCTCAAGCCCTGAAGGAAACTGGGGGGTGTGTGTAACCTCCCTGAGGAGCATCATGACAGTGCAGCAGGTTGCAGCTTCCATCTGCTGAAGGTTTCTTATCTGTGAGGTGCTCCCTCTCCTGATGGGGATTTGAGACTGATGAGGGTGGGGAAGCAGCCTTGAGAGCATCACTGGACTCTAGAAGACAATTCTTAAGGAACATTAGCCCTTGTTAGGGGGTCTGTGGCACCCTGGTTGAGCAGATACCACGACCATTGGCATGGTGCCCTGGCACAGGCTGAGGAACCAGAGCCAAGAGCAGATCCCTGGAGTCCCCACTCTGCAGGGGGCAGCTCCAGAGTGTCCTGGGCTCAGACCTCAGAGGAGAGAGACTTCTCCTCACGTGTGGAAACGTGGCCCTCTCCATTCTCTGCAGGATGATGCTTGGAGGTGTTTTCTTTGCAGGACAAGTTTGATCTCTGTGGTTTTTTCCCCCAGGATCTGCCCTCGTTCACCCAGAACGTGCACAGGCTGGTGAACGACCTGCGTTACTACAGGCTCTGCAACGACAGCTTGCCCCCTGGGACTGTGAAACTATAGCTCCCTGCACTGGACTGGGGCACTGAACCCCCCCAGGGGACAGATCCAGGCTGGCTTTGGCCACCACCTTCTCTCCTCCCTGGGCAGGAGGCGCAGCTCGGGCGCGGGCACGGCTGGGACTCACGCTCCACGCTTCCTCCATTCCCCTTCTTCCACCTCCTCTCTCTCCTTCCCCACCCCAAAAAAAAAACCACCTCCAGCTGGAGTCAACGCTGGCTGCTGAACGTGTCTCCACGCCCCAACCCAGAGGGGAACATCCCAAGCCAGAGTTTGGGGGATGTGCCAACCCAGAGGAGACGTCCCCGGGCTGGGCTTCGGTTCGACTTCACGTAGCACTTTGTCACCTCCAGAGGTTTATTTTTGGGGGGTCGTGGACGTGTGGAACGCGAGGCAGAAGAGCCAAAGACTACTTCAGACATTCGTACCTTCGTGTCATTCCACCTCCCTGCCCCTGCCCAGCTCCCCCAGGAGGAGTCTCGGGGTGTTGGGGTCCTCTTCTGGCACTTCTGGCACTCCCGGCGGTTTTAAATTGCCTTGGAAAAAAAAAACCCCTCCCTGCTCTTGGTGGGGGTTTAGAGACTTTTTTTGGGGGGTTTGTTTTGTTGGGTTTTGTTTTTTTTTTTTTTAAACGTTTTCTCATCATTCCATTGTGATACTAAAACAACATGCTTAATGGGAATAAAGTGCTTACCTTGTTGTTTTAAGTAGCTCGTGGACTTGTCGGAGTCTCCTCTGTCCCCTGAGCTGCTGCTCTGGGGGGAAATGCAGGAGGAGGGACCTGGGGGGGTCAGACTGTCCCTTCTCCTGCAGGCTGGGGCTTGACCAAGAGCTGCCTGCAGGAAGAAATCTCCTCCCATGCATCATGGGAGGGCTGAACTGCAGGTAGTCACTGGGCAGGGTGAGCTCCTGGCAGCTGAGTGTGAGGTGCAAACCCCTCAGCCAGGAGCAGGCCTTGTGGGGTTCTGAGTCTTTGAGCATGGAGTCATTCAGGTTGGAGAAGACCTCCAGGATCACTAAGTCCAACCATCAACCCAACACTTCCATGACCACTAAACCATGTCCCCAAGGGCCATGTCCACACGTTTTTTGAGCCCCTCCAGGGCTGGGGACTCCAGCACCTCCCTGGGCAGCCTGGGCCAATCCCTCACCACTCTGCAAGG